TGAATATCCGTCATTTTGGTGGGTTGGCTCCTCCTGGGACAAATTCCACGTTAAAGCAAATAATAGCCATGGTTATTTGTTTGGTTTAGGTTATTATCTAAGAGTGGACCATTTAGACTTAAACAGTTGTAAAAAGTTTGTGACCAATAAAGAAACTAGAAAATTTTTTGGATAATTTTATGATATTGTAGCGATGATGTCAAGATTTGGAAAGTGTTTTGATTTTTGGATCGAAAAGCTTTCTCTCTCCGATTCTTTTCCTGAGCAGAGATCACTCTGGACAAACTCTTTAAATAACCCTTTATAATGTTAATGTATTAAATAACCAGGAGACATGACAACGGATGACGACAGAAATAATCTTACTCAGATCAGAGAAGTTGATTAGAGTTACAGAAGGCAGCTGCTTACCAACCGGGCTCACGTCCCGTTGGAGTGGCCCTGGTTCACAGCCGGAGAAGCATTTTATACGACTCTAGTCCGCCGCATCATCACATCATTACATCATGACATCGATAAAAATACATGTTTGCAGATGAGGAGACATCCATGGCTTCAGCCTTAACAGAATATTACACTTTGTTCTTAGATCGAGGACGACGCTCTCATTCCATTCCCAAATCTTCGTCGCGTGCAGAATGAAGACCGAGAACGGTCGCAGCACAGTAATAGAGATAACTGTTGAGTGTAAATGGAACTGGACCATGCCAGACACAACCGAACCGCGCTAAATCTAGTTCAAGTTCATCAGTATGCTGATTTGAAGGGTCTGAATTACAGGGTCTCACCAGGAGATGATGCTTCTCTTTAGATCTTAATGTCCACATTTCAGTCATGACAGAAATAATATTTTAGTGCAAAGATTGATGTTTAAAAAGGAATTTTAGTGGACCAACCAAGGACCCATCAAGGAAAGTGGGGAAATTTTGAATGGCTACTACTGTACAGAGATCATCTCCATAGGAAGGTACCTTGAGGCTCATTTATCAACTCTTGAAACTACCTTAACGTACTTGTTGTCTGTCCATATGAAGGGGCAGACAATCATTCACACACTCACACTTAAAGCTTTGATGATGCTGAAGTGACTCTAAAAAGAACCCAGTGAGCCTGTAATCGGAACGGCCTGCAGAACCAAACACAGTGATGACAAGAAGAAAAAAAAACTCACTGTTTTGCATCATGGAGGCGACACCAGTCTCCCAGCTGGGTTGACTTCTGTAATCTGCACAAACAAATAAACCTCATTTTACTGGGTTATATGCATTCATGTATAATCAAAGCATCTTAAATAGACAAAAAGGAAAAGAAATGTTAGAGGAAAAACTTTTAGTCAATTTAAGTATCGATAAAACACACATTATTAAATTGTTAAAAAACTGAAATCATTTTAATATGTCTGTTTTTCTTGGGGGGAGGGAGATAACATTTAAAGTGATTTAGTGGAAAATAAATAAACTGAATTTAAAGCTACAGTGTGTAATTTTCAGCAACATCTAGCGTCCAGACTGCAGACCGCAGCAACATGAACATCTCCCCCCCAACAGTACGGCGAGCGTTACGGGACAAAATGTCTTCCACGACGTCCGCATCACCTACCTTCTAAAGTGATGAGGTTTGTTTACATAGATAATTTTAATACTGCCATCTATTGTTCAGTATCGTATTGTTCAGCTCATCTCTGTCAACTTGCCGTAGTTACTTTCGAGCGTCATGGGAGATCTCGCAATCGCTAGTTTGTTGGCTCTGCACTGCCGTAGCGCAAAGATGTCTACCTCCATGGCTGCGAGACCCGCTCCTATGAATTATAAATGACGAATTCTAAGGCAACGCAAATATTAAGGTTAAGAGGCTGAGCTCGTAGATGATGATAAATAACATAGTTATGTATAATATATTACATTTCTGACTGTATATCCCTGTAATTATTACACACTGTAGCTTTAATAAATAATTTTTAGACCACATAGTAATCTTTCTTTGACCATCTCCTACCAAACTAATAACATGTTTAAGTACTTTAAACCCAGGAAGTCACACTTTGTCTCCCTGTGTAGCTAAAACACACCAGACATGTTTGGATGATCAGATCTTCCTATTAAATAAATATGTAGTAATAAAGTATGTTTAGACACAAATGAATTAAACTCATTAAATGGACCCCATACATGTCAAAGAACATCAACTAGTCCTGAATTTGGGCACAGATTTCACATCCAAATGCACCAATAAATACTTCAATGCACCATAATGAAAAAAATTTAATATTTTTTTAACACAGAACAGGAAATAATATGAAAGGAGTAAATCATTATTATATGAGGCACAAGTAAATAAATCTGTCCAAAGTATTTATTGAACCACCTTCTCTAAAGTGACGAGTATGTGGCTCCGAATCTTTGGGGCATAATAACGAAAATCTCTCTGCAGCTTATTTTGAGAAACAAATTATATTGCTACAAATATGTTGTCCCAAACAATTCAATGACTATAAAATGTCTACAGTAGCAGCCATTCAAAATGGCTTTTCCCAGTCAAACGTCAGCCAAATGGCAGCCCACTTCCCTGCAACTCCCAGTAAAAACCCCTCCAACTTCCAGCCACTGCAGTGACCCCTGGTAATGTAGGGGGACCAGCCAAGGGCCAGCCAAGGGCCAGCCAAGAGTCCATTAAGGAAAGTGGGGAAATTTTGAATAGCTACCTGGGGTTGGCAAGTGACTTTCACATTTCATTTGCCCAGAAACAATTTTTACTTGCCCAGTAAAATGTTTGATTAATATAGTTCCTAATATTCATTTTTGTATATATATCAATGAAACATGTTTGTTTTTTAAATGTTTTTTGTAATTCAGTATTTTTATTTTCCAGGTTCCTGGTGTGTATATGCATGCGTCAGATAATGAACTCAAGCCTACATTACCGTGTTAACATGCTTTTCAAACCTTCCTGCACATTCTTTTCAAACTAAACTTTGCTTTAAACTATTGTGTGCTTGGAAAAATATAAATTGTAATGTTAAAAATCAAAAAAAAACTTGACAGGTTAAAAACTTAAGAAAAATCACAAGACAGAAGTCAATGTCACAAATGAATAACTTTTATTTTAGAGTCACGGTATGTTTAAACAAGATAATACTATTAATATAATGTGACTTTTCTAGAGAATCATTATCCATAGTTATTTTATACAGGGTTTTCACAGTCTGACATCATTTCAGAATTGCCTGACTTTTAACTTACTCAGGATTAGTTTTCCCATACAAAATAAATGCAACTGTTTGTAGTTTTGGTAACTACATAAAAATTACCTCTAGGTTGACAAAAATCACGCCATCTGGCGGAAAATCACCCGTCTTTTTCAAATCACGACAACAACGCTTCTGGGTCGTTTTCATCGAATGTCGGTGATTTTAAAGTAATTTTGAGTCATAAATAATTGCCCGGCGGGCAAATGCAATGAAATTTGTACTCTCCCAACAATAATAACTACTTGCCCCGGGAGATAGAGCCCTGGCTACTACTGTAAGTATATAAAATTCAGGACTTCCAGACTGAGACTGAGTTTCATGCCTGATCAGAGTGAAATCCTTTGCCACAGGATGCTACGTGTGCAGCTGCATATCAGAATCATGCAGTGCTAGATGCAGAGGAGTAAAGCAGGCTGGACTCTGGAGCGACGGATACGCCTCTCTATTTGAAAACCGAGGGATGAGATGGCGTTTAGCGCTTACCAGGGAAATTATATTTCCCTGAATGCATTTTGCCAAGTCAAAGGTGGTGGTGGAGCATTATGGTGTGGGACTGTTGGAGTTGGGTCCAACACCTTGGTTCCACTCAAAGGATCACTTCATGCTTCAGCAACCATAATATTTAACTAGAAAAAGCTGTTTCGGAGAAACATCAAAGTGGGAATGCTTTTGCTGAATGAAAAAAGCTGAAATTACCTGAAGAACATATGAAAATGAGATAGGAAGTCATCAGAAAATTCAAACTGCAGAAAACAATTGAATCATCTGAAGATTTTGTAGGGTAGAATCATTTGGCAGTAAAATGGCAGAAACAAACTCATCTTAAAAGCTGCACAGCCAAACCATACATAATATCAAAAAATGTCTTGAATGTGGGCACTAGAAGGGTCTTAATATAATGTCTCCCAAGTTTCTAGAAAAATGTATAAAGAAATTTTGAAGGGGGGTTTACCTACTTTCCAGAAACATGTCAGGCGTTTTATGAATTAGCAGCAAACAGAAAAGCCTAATTCCTGTCCAGAAACAGAGCAGAATGAAGCCAAAGTTCACAACATAGGCTGAAAAGTATGAAATTAGCTGAAGTAGAAAAGAAATTACAAAGAAAAACTTTAATCTTATCTGTTTGAAGAAAAAATTAGTAGCTTAAGGATGGGAAGTAAAATGTTGAGGACAATGGTATTGAATAAGTCTTAACATTTTGAAATCATATGTGGAAATGTCAAGACTTGGCAAAACCATTGGAAAATTATTTAAAATGTGTCGGTTGATGAGCATAAAGAAAACAGTGTCATCCTTAGAGGATTGAAAATCTACAAACCTATGTTTAAGACTGATAATGAGAAGCAGAGGAGGGACAGAGAGAGAAGCTTATAGAAAGAGAGCTAATACCACTTAAGGAGCTGAATTTATAAAAAAATTGAACCTGCATGTTACGAGCCGCTGTGGTAATGAAAGCACCGTTGGCAGGCTTAGGCTGCAAGTTACGAGGTTAGCTGATGCTTTATTACAGTGTAAATCTAAGAACCTGATTAAGAAATATGCACTGAGGTGTGTGGTCAACAGGCCTTGGTAGTGTAATTTGAAGAAATTGGTTGACTTTGGGTCATAGCTACAAGCCATACGGCACAATGAATGAGTGTGCGTAAGGAAGAGGCTTTTATTTTGTAGGTTCCCTTTAGTCTTATTTTGAAAGTCTATCATGGATGTGTGTCAAGGGAAGGGTCATGCTCAGCAGTGATATAGAATCCATTTCTAAATATGAAATCACTGGTTTTCCATGTTATTTGGTGAATAGATGCTGTATTAGAGCATAAATGGGAGACTTTTATTGTGAAATTTGCTCTGGGGTATGTTTTGAAAAGGTCCCTAGAGTCTAATAGAAACAAGCTGGTAGAGTTTGGGTCATAATGCTGGGCCATTTGCATCAATTAATACACAAATACAATACGGAGGCTTTTATTTTGAAGAGTCACTGGAGTCTTATTTTGAAAGTCTAGCAGGGTTGTGTGTTGAGAAAAGGGTCAGACCCAGCAGTGATACTTGATGACTTTCTAATCGTTAAATCACTCTTTTCCCTTGTTATTAGGGCAGTAGATAAAGTGGCAATGAGAGGCTTTTATTTTGAAATTTTCTGTGAGGTGTGTTTTGAAAACCCCCTAGAGTCTCATTTTTAAAAAAGTGGTTGAGTTTGGGTCATAATGTTAAGCCATATGCTGGGAAAAAAATATGAGTTTAATTTAGGGGCTTTTATTTTGAAGGGTCCCCGGAGTCTTATTTTGAAAGTCTATCAGGGTTGCGTGTGAAGGGAAGGGTCATGGTCAGTAGTCATATTGTATCCACTTCCAAATGTTATATCAGTGTTGTCTCCCTCCATTAGATTAAAATGTGCTGTTTAAAGTGGTGGAGGTAAAATCTCTTTGAAGCACGGTTACCTTGACGACGCTTAACGAGCCTGTCAGTGAAAGAGAGACATGCGCATCACTTTCGTTCCTTTCCTCTCAGGCTTTTTTGAATGGGAATTTCAGCTCCGAACAAACAAGTGCTGAAGACAAACCGTAAATGGTATCTAAAAAATTCTTTCAGTCTAAGTGACAGCTATCCTTTGTCTCCGATTGTGGTAACTTTCATGGATGTAGCTCATTCACAACCTTAATGGGAAGGAGGAATAAAAAGGTTTGAGAAATCCTGCTGGTCTCATTGAATAACATGCAGAAAAATGGTAGAGCAGAACTCTCAAAAGCAAAACTTTCCCTCCGAACAAACGAGAGGTGAGCCAAAACCGTATTAGGTATTCAAAAAATTCTTTCACCGTGAGCGTCAGCCGTCTTTGGACTACAACTGGTGTAACTTTCATATTTCTACAATATTTCGTCTAGGCGTGGTGACGATGTAAAAAAGTGTATAATTGTCAAAATCTTGATTTTGGGGGTAGGACAGATTGGTTACCCCCGAACAAACCTTTTTCCTAGCTAAACGAT